GCGGGCTTGACCCGTCCTTCCATCCTGCAAACTGCTCTGTGGATGTGTATGACCCTGACGGCGTCGACGCAGACATGCTGTCGGAGGTGGCCGTTGGCACGTCAGACCGCACCACGCGCGATGATGCTGGGCAGGGCAGCCATTCCACCACTGCTAACACGGCTGCATCGGAGACACGTGCGGGTGGCGTGAAGGCTGAAGAGCCGGACCCAGACAGCAGCGCCAACAGCCGAGGAGGAAGAAGCGTATCTGGGGCATCGTCACAGTCGCAGCCGGATGCAAATGTGAAGACAGAGCCGCCAACGCCCTCCGAGAACCCATTGCCTGCCGACACGATCCCGGCTGCAGCCACGGTGGTGAAGAAGGAAGGGGAGGGCAACGATTTGGTGCTTGTTATCAAGGAAGAGAGCAGCGCCAACAACAGCAACAACAGCAACAACAGCGCCGCTGACAACACCGGCACCAACATGCAAACGGATGGTGAACATGGTGATGGTGATGACATCAAGGAGGAAGGGAACGATGTGGGAGGTGGTGCGGAAGGTGACCATCCAAAGAAGAGGGCAAAGAGATAGACGACGTGTGTTGTTGTTGCAGAGGTGACCTTGCGGCGGAATGCTCCCTTTCGCTGTTTGTTTGTGTGATTGGAGCTGTTACTGCTGATGAGATGGTGGTGCGTGCACAGTGGTGCTTGCAGACGGAGATATGTTGACCACAGACAGCGGTGCCATGTGTTCATGTGCCTTGCTTGATTCAGGAAGGGTGTTGTGACTGCTTTGCGTTTTGTTGTTATTTTGTATGTGAGGGTTGAATGTGCTCACAAAGCATCGTTGTTGTGGGTGATTTGACCTAAGCGATTGCATTGTAATTCTTCTTCGCTCGTTCATTCACCTTGCAGTTTGTTTATCTGCGTTACCTGTGCTGTTTGATTCATTCATTTCCTTTTCTTCGGTTACGGTTACTCGTCAAAGCGCTCTGTGCATAACATAATGACACCCCTCTTGTTCATACACGCAAAACGTGCATGTGGCGAGGCAGTGCAGGAAGTAAGCGAGTTGGTGACAAAAACATGCAACCCTGGAACAACGGTAATGTTGTTGTCATGGTGGCGTCACACAAGGCCAAATCCTTGCGCGTTGTCGATGGCCGTTTGAACGCTTGTAGATGAAAGAGAGAGGATCGGGCGAGTGAGTGTTCAAAGGATGAAGAACGAGTTGCGCGGAAAGAACAAAAGTCGCACACAGACGAAGACACACGCACACACACACACAGACGAAGACAAACACACACACATACGCACGCACACGGGCTCACCGCTGTCTCAGCAGCTCTTCTGTCGGGTACGCGGGAAGGACGAGGCGGTTGAAACACGTCATTGCCGTTGGCAGCCGGCTGTGGAGCGAAAAGGATTGAATCAATCGTGAGTGACGTGGTGTAGCGAGCAAAATGCGGGCAAGGGCCATGCGCGGAGGTGTGTGTGTGTGTGTGTGTGTGTGTGTGTGTGTGTGTGTGTGTGTGTGTGTGTGTGTGTGTGTGTGTGTGTGTATGCGTGCGTGTAATGCATATTCACATTCACACGCCCACGTGTGCGCATCTTTGCACCTGAAATTTGTGTGCTCTGCACGTTGAATGGTAAAATGTAGCGACTGCAGTCCACCAAGTGGGACTCGCGCGGAGCCTGTGCGCATATACATGTGTTTGTGCAAGTGTGTTGTGTTAGAGCGTTGCTCCCTCGCAGGCTGGTTCAACCATGAAACACCATTGTCTACAAATCATGTTCACGCACACACACACACACACTCATACACGCACACACCTGAAACGAAGAGGAGGAAGTTTCGCTTCCCTTCGTCGTCCAAACTGTCAAGGAACCGCCACAGGTGCTGGATTGTGTCGTCCGACTCTGTACGTGTGCACCATGGTGTGCAAATCATGCTTGTGAACGTCGTGAGCACGGGCCAATGTACGAACAGGAAAAAAACAAAACAAAACAGACAACCTTGCTGCAACAACAGGCAATCAAGCTGGCTGACTGAAGCGAATTCATTTGCGTTCCAAATCAACCAGCGTTCATGGCACGCGTGTGAGCTCACGGCCGCACCTTCGTAGCCGATGTACGCAGCGGATGGCTTCATCGTGCTCAAGTCAATGTCATCCCTTCAAATGCGCCGTGGTGGCGAGAAACACGCACGTGGTGAACCCAAGACGACGCTGATGATACGCAACACAACAAAGCAGATGCAAGCACAGGCAGACAAGAGCAGAGCTACACGCACATGGACACATACGCAAACACACGTACATACGCACGTAAACGAGCGCATGTGCACACCTGCCGCAGATCATGACTTGGAGCTCTGCTGGTGTGCAGAGGTTGACGGCCCACCCGGCCATCACCGCCATGAACCCGTTGCGAATCGCTCCCATTTGCTGCGCACCAAGAAGCAACCACAACCAAGCTCGAGCATGAGTGTGGAGACACAGCGGCTGGTGTGCAAGGTGCTGCGTGTGCGAATGTCTGATGCGCTGCAGTCCCAGCCGTACCTGTTCCATGCTCTTGTGCAGCACAAACTCGATGTAGTCCTTGACGTACTGCTGTCGCGTCTCGTTTGTGACAACAATGTCGTTTCCGCCCTCGATCAGCGGCTGCTCAATGGCCTCCCCCAGGTACCTTTGGCACATAAGTGCGATGAGAAGACAAGAAGACAAGTGCGTGTGTATATATGTGTGTGTATGTGTGTATGTATGTGTGGGTGTGTGTGTGTTGAAGGCGATGCAGGTCGTGTTGCCCAGTGTTCACTCAATGTTCAGTTCCACGTACATGTCGGAGACGGAGTATGTGCTGCAGATGTCCGTTTCAACATCGCCCGGGTACTCCAGCAGCTGGCGCGAGCAGCACGGAGAGGGGGCGGGGCATGGCCGGTGAGGCAGAGCCAGGAAAGCGTGGTGAGTCTATTCGCACACGTACACACACACGCACACACGCACACACACACACGCACACACACGTACACACACACACGACACGACACACACACACACACACACACACACACACACGCACACACACACATACACAGGCACACACACACATATATATATATATATATACATGTACACATACACACAAGTGACCCCCATCCCGTTTGTTTCCAAGCACCTGGTCGAGACCGTGTGCAAGGTCGGGGAACATGGCGCGGAAATCAGACGCGTCCGCACGGCGATCAAGCAGCTGCTTGTAGAAGGCGAGCTGCAGTCACAGGGGTGTGGCGGTGTGTTTGGTGGCCGTGTGTTGAATGGAGAGGGGTGAGAAGGGGGAAGCAAGGCAAGGCAAGGAGGTGGCTGGGAAAATGGCGATGCTAGATGAGCAACACCCACCCACCGACACCCACACACCGACACACCGACACACCCACACACCCACCCACACCCACACCCACACCCACACCCACACCCACACACACACACACACACACACACACACACACACACACACACACACACACACACACACACACACACACACACACACAAACAAACACACACACGCACGCATGCATGCACTGACCGGGAGGTTGAGGCGGATGTTGACGCTGTTGTAGAGAGCAAGGCCGACGAGAACACCAAAGTAATAGAAGGAGCGGAGGGGCTCGTGCGTATGTGCTGAGAAATGAAAGCAATGCAACAGCAGCATGGGTAGAACAGTACAGTGTGTGTGTTGGGGGGAAGGAGTCAAAAGTCATACGACGTGTGAACAGATGGCAGTGACGTGCTGGGGGTGGCAGGGACGAATTGTCACAGACCGGCTGCAATGTTGAGAGCACACGGGCTTTGTGAGTACACGGACAGTGGCACGAAGTGTGCGTGGTGACAAGACAAACCGTTGATCCAAATGAGGGTGTTGCCTGCGATGGGCTTGAACATGGTCGTCTCAGGAGACAGCAGTGCAGCAAAGACGCTGCGGAAAAACTCCTTCTGCACTCCTGCGGACAGCGGCGAGGCGGAAGAGGGAGAACGACACGCCGACATGATGTGGGACGCGATGAGAAAGTGGAAGAAAAAAAAAAGGGGGGGGGGGTGAGACGTCGTCAATACATCGGAGAATTGTCCATGTGTGCGTGTGCGCATGGTAGAGATGTGGTATTGTGGCTGTCGTGGTGGTCAAAGAGCGCGTGAGCTGAGGGGTTCGCACCGCCGCAGCAACAGCACAAGGCATGGCGTTCAATGGGCAACTTTGCAACAAAGAGTGGAAGAATAAATTTTCGTTTCGCACCTCCAAGGTCAATGCCTTGCTCGCCAGACTGCGCATATCGCACTTTCAGCGGCCGATGGAAATCCTGAGAACACACACACACACACACACACACACACACACACACACACACACACACACACACACACACACACACACACACACACACACACACACACACACAC